TGCTCGTGCACTCCTATCGTGAGTGGATTGTTTGCAGTTTGTCTGAGGCCTTGACGCCTCTCCTAAGATCAGCGAATTGCTCACAGAGGAGTCTGAAGAATTGAGGAAGGGGGGTGACTTTCGAATAAGCAACCATGTTGTTCTCACAACTAGCTGCGCGCGGCGAAACTGGTCGCGTCATCTTTCAGTGTGTGGAAGGCTACCAGGACCTGCTCCTCAGGTAAGTTGTGTTGTAAATATACGTAACTATTGACACTAGCCTCCCAGTTATCGAAATTTTCTTCAGATTTCCCGCCATACGCATCTAGGAACTTGAGCTTGACAGGCTCTTTGAGGGGACGCGCTTCGGCCTCTGGCGTGGCCACTACTTTGGCGCCCTCAATGGCACCTCCACAGAACTTGTCTGCGCCTTCTTTCAACCTCTTGACTTCGGTCCCGACGTGGGTCACCACGTCGCGAGCAAACTCTCGAAATCCGATCCGGATGGAATGGAAGGCCACCTCTTGGCCCTTATTGGCTTGTTGTTCAATCCAGGCCTGACCCAAAGTCTCTAGATAACTCAGAATCTTGTTTAATTTGGCCTGGGTATCCTGCTGCGCTTGCACCTCTTGCCTGCACAACTGTATCCTTTCCACTTCCTTGGCCATCCGGTTGGCCTCCTCCATCCTCCTCTTCTTCTCTCTCGCCAGACGTAATTTCCACTCCAATCTCTTTTCATTTTCTAGGGTCTGGCGGTCCAGGGGATCTTCCATAGCTTCCATTTCCCTGGCTAAAGCTTCTTTCTCCTCCTGCGGCACATATAACATTGCCTCTTCGTCCTCTCCCAACGATAAATTAGCAACCCATTCGTTGATCTTCTTTTCCACCCACGCGTCTTCTCCCTTCGTACCACTGCTCTCTCCTCTCTCTCTCGTGCGCCTCCTCTCGATGGATCCTTCTTCCAATTCTTCCTCCTCCTCTGCTGCTTCTTCGGCAGCCCTCTTTTTCTCTTCCTCCTCCTGCTGTAATCTTTTTTTTTTTTTTTTTTTTTTTTGCTGTAATCTCATCATCTCCTCCTCCAATTTCTTTTTCTTCGCCGCCTTCAACTTCGCCTGCTTGAGGAGCTCCTCCTTCTCCTTCTTCTCCCTTCTCTCTCAACAAGGCCCTATCCTTCATCCACAGAGTTCCTACACCTGGACAGAAGAGACTCGATGCAGAAAGAAGAGACAGACAGACTTGACTCAGCAAGTACCACAGGGTGTGTGCACATCCATATGGCGAGGGGATAGGTTGAAGGCTTGACGAGATTATACCGGCTCCAGCTTGGTCAAAGTCGTGGTCAACAATCTTGGTCAACGCTTTAGTCAACGTCGGTCAATGCCTTGGTTAACGCTTAGTTAACCCCGGTCAACTCCCGATCAACTCCTCATCCGGCTATGTCTACCGGCTTCCTCTTCTTCACCACCTTTCTCCTTCCTTTCTTCTTCCTCACCTCCTTCTT